AACAATGAAAAAACCTTGATTTAAACTTTCTATTATTACCTCAGTTAAGACCATCATCTTTGTACAGATTATTTTAGTTTATACGTCAGTGCAACATATTACAGTTATTGTGGTGTGCAGGACTCCAATTTTTTTTTTGGAGGCAACTCCACCCAGTGTTTTAAACAATCAATCCACAGAGACCGAGAAACTCTGTCACACAATGAGGTACCAAGATCAAATTATGTGTACTTATGAAACACATAATGTAAGCATGGATTTCACTGAAACTGAAAACTTAAAAGTCCAAAAGGGTGGGAAAACAAAACAACACAGAATTCACTGACTTCAGTGGACGCCACCAGAACACTTAACACTTTGTTTTCACTGTGGTCAGTACAGTACAACTATTTTTATACCAAAATATGTGGAGGTGTTACTGCAACTTTTAGCCTATTAACAACACATATATCAATAAATATATATATATATATTGACATTTTCTACTGTATTTCCAAATCTTAGAAATCCTTTATTGATGAGTCAAAATTGTGTGACATTGGAAACAATAAAGCTATAATTGTAAAATATTATTCGAATATAAACTAATTGTTAGAATCCCACGTAAAAGCTTTCGGGCATTCAGAGCTCAAAGAAAATGATTGGCAGGCTGCTCACCAGAGATACAGTAGCGGCTCAAAACTCCCATTGTTCACCTTTGTTCAAGCAAAACAAAGAATTTAATTTCAATCCAGTAAAAGTGCTTTAGTGTTCTGTGCAAATTTGAGACTATTCAGACTGCGACTGAAAAGACTTTTTCTTCTTTGCAAAAACAAGAAACAAATACAGAGAAATATGTGAATCATGTGGGCTGAAATACCACATTGGTTTCTCAACTCTACTGGGCCAGGTCACTGGTCAGGTTACCTGCCCTGATTTTTCAGACTTGTGTGATAGAGTGCCAATGTTTAACCACCTAATTAACCTGTCAAGTACCTTAGAGGATATTATCTTTGATGGAGCCACCTTTCTTTTTTGTTCATTGTTTAGTAATCCATGAGTGGATCAGAGGCAATATAATAGTGACCAGTCTTAAAGGCTTCAATCCTTAAAGGCACTAACAAAATCATTTTGTCAGTTTTTCTTCAAAATGCACAATGAAACATGCACCAGAGGACACAAGTGGAAGTTACATTTTAGAACTGCGAACAGGTGGCACTTCCTTACCCACAGGGTTGTTTGTTGGAACAAGCTTCCAAGCCATTTAGTTGAAGCCAGTACCATGCATGGTTTCTTCAAGAATTCAAGAAATGGCTGGATGAGATCCTTGGTCATTTAACTACTGATTACCCAACTGGCTAGATACTAAAAGCCAAATGGTCTCCTCTCATTTGTAACCTTTCTTATGTTCTTGAACACTTTTCATCATTCCATGATTACACATAGTAACTCCTGATTTATTTGAACAAACCACGAATTTCATTTTAAAAAAAGCAACATATAATAAGCTACTGATTTAAGACTGACCTGTAAAATAATAGTTATTAGGACGGACAGGTCCTGGTCTGAGAGTATAGAAACAGTCAGAGGAACTGTGTGAAGGAGAGAAAAATATCTGAGGAGATTAATTTGAATCCTTTTTATTTCTACCTTTAAAAGCAAGTGAGGGTCCAGATGTACGAGTTTCTGTGGTACTGCAGTTCTCCCTTCGCTGTGGTCAGACATGGACTTGTGCTACTGTCAAACACCATCTGGTCAGCTATTGTACTACTGTGGCTGAGAGCTTCTTAAAATTCAGATTGTTTTGTACTTCTTGGTTCTTCATCTCCCTCTAAGGACTTCTTCAAGGACAACCTACAGTAGATAGCGCTCCTGAATTTAAATGCATTATCTGGCCTTGCCACCGGAGATATAAATGCTGTTGTTCTCAGTGTCAATTTACCACAGTGTAGGAGATAAAATGAAGATTTTACTTCAAAGGTGCAAAATGACTGCTGAGAACACTCAGGTCATTCAGAGATAGGACATGGTTTTAAAACTGCAAAAGATATTATCCTGCTAATTAAGTGGTAAAATTAATATTCTCACTACCTGCAAGACAGCCTTAACACTGCTACCTCCCAAATATAAAAAAAGCTGATTTTAGTACTTTGATTGGTAGGATTTGTGCACTTCAGAATGAAATATTATAGAGGAGTTGTTTTTTAAAAAGCAGCATTTGAGCAGCATTGGTGTGATTAAAAACTACCTTCTTTGAGATGCACACATGTAATTTTGTCTTTCCTCTCAGGACTATGCATAATTTATCTTATGTTAATTTATTGTTCATTTAAAAGTAGTTGGTGTGAAAAGTGTGAAGACTATGGTCTATGGCCGCATTCTGTATTTATAAGAGCCTGCAGTAGCACCTCACACTACATTCACTACATTAGATGTGTTAATTGGTTTGTGATGCCTACATAACGAATTGCCTTTTTTAGAATAGCTAGAGTTTGTGAAAGGGACATGATCATTTGTAGACGTTGCTGTAGGATTAAGCTAGGAATGCCAGAAAGTCCTCCAGCTTGCCCTGTCCAGAGTTTGAGAGCTCTGTACTATTAGAAGTTTTTCTTAAATTTTGTGACACCCTGCTTCATGTGTTCAGGTGTTGTACATGCTGAGATTGAAGCAGATGACAGTACTATCAGCTGCAGTGAAATTTTACAAGTTTTTCACACCCACCTGAGAAAGTTCCCATGAACGTCTACTGTACAGTATGTGTACATTAGCAAGTACTGTACCTAGCACAGTAACACTGAACAAGTGACATTTTTTTGAGAGTTTATAGGGGATATATAGGACTTAGAGTTTATAGGATTTATAGGGCTGAAGAGTTAAATTTGAAATAGAAAGCTTTTGTACTTCAAATGTTGCTATTAAATAGTTATTCTAAGTGCTTATGGAATGTTCCTATCAAGAATTAGTGTTAAAGGAATATACTGTACTGTATATTGTATATTGAGTGGAAATGAAAACTTTTTCTATTGCACAAAACGTGTTTAAAAAATATATAATCGTTTCAGAATTGTATACAACAGAATGAATGTTTTCTATATAATTCTTTTGTTCCCTGTATTCCAAACCTTCTCTGAAATCTTGTCTATAAATACGGTATATACTTTATATTAATTTGACCATTGGATCAGAACCCAGAGCTTGCTGGGGGGAAGGAAGGAGGTGTTCCTCCCAACGTTTTACTTCTTGAATTCCACTCTTAGTGTAAATATTTCCCTTTCCCAGACACCGATGTCTGTATGGGTACAGTGTGTAAAATTTAAATAATATTGATATCAAATATTTATTTTTGATTGACGCTATGGAAACAACACCAAAAAATAATAATACGACATTTAAGGTTTTTATTATTCTTCTTGGGAGAGTTTAGTTAGAGGGTTTTAAGATATCTGTCATACATTTGGGCTAGAAAATGTAATCTCTGGACGTCTCTGGACTCTGCTGTGCTGGTAAAACGATAAAATAAATATATCAAATTGAAAGCTTGTTTTATATTTTATTGATTTTCCGATTAAATTTAACACTCATAGCCCATATACACTATATTATTTTAGAGGGCAGTTTTTAGTACAGGATTTATTTGAGTCGAAGAGCTCGTGAATGCCACTTTTCTGAACTTTCAAGTGATGTAATAAACAACTAGCAACATGCAAGCAGAGTCCTCGTTTTTTCTCAAGGACAGCACTTTAAAGATTGATGTGTTGTGTGGTGCCGCTGCCTGTACTCCCCCACACCTCACTATAACACCATTCCCCCTCTCCCTTGTGTGGACTGGAGCCTTTACATCACTTCTGAACAGAGCAGACACGTACGTCTGCATTCTGTGAACAGAAATAAAAGAAACCAAAGTGTTGCTAAGCTTAATAAGCAGGAGAAAAAAAGTTTAAAGGACAGCAGCATGAAGTCCTAATTACAGGGCATTAGCTCTGACTCTGCTGTTTTCATGCTGTGCCGGTCAGGAGTTAAGGCCCAAATCAACCTACCGTGCTAAGTGGAATGAGAATAAATGGACTCTCTTTAACAGCTAAAGGCTCTCTGGGTTTTTATTGGGAGCGTATTTTGATTTGGGTTCATGGTACATAAACCAATGCCTTTTATGAAAGGGCTTACGCCTTGTCTTGGAGGTGAAGCTCTGTAAAGCATTATCAATTAAACATAATGGCTTCATCGCCTGTGCCTGCTTAACTTTTTCTTTTTTGTTGTTAATAGAAAAGCTTGATGTAAGAGTCTGCTTAATTCATGGGAACAAACAACTGAATTTTGACATATCATCAAAATGAATTGGATATGATGTACACTTATCAGATATTAAGTGTTCCCATTCCTTTTTTGGACTTGCTGGCCTGGCCTTAAACAGGAGGGGAAAATTGAAGTCCCCTGGAAAAATCCTAATTAACGATTAACAGAATTACTGAGGAGTGCAGTAGGCTTCTCTGTACTGACGCAGGTAGGAAGAGCTGGTGACATTCATCAGAGAGCTAAAGTAAATGCGATGAATTAACAAAATTTAATTTGCCTACAAAGAAAGTGGAAATGGTGAGCTGCAGGTGGTTGTGATGCAAAGTGATGAATTACAGGAACTGAAACCACGTGTTGAGAAGGAGTGGGGTTTGTCATGGCCTGCTTGAAAGCAATGCAGAACAGTCTAAAACAGGATGAACTTTTGAAAAAAAAAATTACATAAGAAGGGATCATTTCATTTGATGTATCATTGTCTCACTCACTCCAGCTTTCCTCTGAAGAACGGTGAGAGATGCACAAAACCCCTGCTGGTGCACATGGCACAACAAATATGATGAAAAATGAAAGGAAAGAAAACATAATCAATTCACTGATAAGAAAAAGTGCTTCCCCAGTGTAAATGCAAAACAGCGGCTAAATAAACATCTGGGAGCACTTTGCTTAGAGGCCCTGTCACCTCATACAGAATGTGATGATCTTTTAATTGACGCCTTTGTCTGTTCCAGATGTGCCCTCTCACCAGACATCCTCTGTGGCAGTTGCTGGCGCTGTGATTGGAGCTGTGCTTGCACTCTTCCTCATTGCTGTTTTCATCATCGTGCTGGTGACACCCAGGAAGAGAGAGCCTTCGTATCTGGACAAAGTGTGAGTAATGAAACCCTAATGAAATTAAATTGAATTACATTGCTAAACCCTGGTGCACAATGAATACCTATAGATCCCAATGAATCTATTAAAATAATGAGAGTGTGTTCATGAAACCTTTACCATCATATTCAATTAAAAGCATCTAAATCATTCTTTATCAGAAAGCAGCACAGAAAATGTTGGGCTGTGAAACAAACCTTTTAGGATACCAAATACTAAGTGTATTAAATTACTAGAAGACATTTAAGTTTTACATTTTGTAACATTAGTGGTTTTGTTTTTTCTGTTTTGAAAAACAAGTGCTAATGTGGGTGGCATGGTGGTGCCATGGTTAGCATTGCTGCTTCACAGTACTGGGGCCCTGGCTTCACTTCTGAAACTAGGGTGCTATCAGTGTGGAGTTTGTATGTTCTCCTTGTGTTTACATGGTTTTCTTCTTGGTGATCCAATTTCCTCCCAAAGACTGAAGACATACTGATAGTTTAATTGGTTTCTGGGAAATTGGCCCCTGTTTGACAATGTGTATGTTTTTGTCTGTCTGCCCTCCGATAGACTGGGCGGCCTGTTTATAATGAAACCTGCCTTGCACCCATTGCTTGCCGAGATAGATCTATTAGTAGGAATGTGTTCTGTAATGTACTATGATCAGTCAGGAACTGTACTGGAGATATGATGAATATTGTTGGGTCCTAGTGCTTTTTTTCCTCTATTGTGGGATTCCATACTGACCCTCAGATAGACTATTGAATACCTGCCTTGAGACAGCAAAAATAAAACTCGACAGCTCCCTGTTATTGAGGTTTTTAAAACATTTCAGCCATCCCACACAGTTGGAGATGTCTAGAGGTGCTCCAGACTGTTTCAAGGCCACAGGTTTAGTCCTTGACTGAAAGTTGCATCACTTCCCAAAACCTGTAGTCCAACTGGAACCTGGCCAGTGCCTGAGGAGTTCCAGACAGCACTTCAGCTGAGAAGAGCAGAATCATGTCTGTGCCTCAAAGATTTCATATCAGCCTTATTGTACATGTGGATAGAGCTGACACTCTGAGAATCAAGTGACCTACCAGCTTACTGAAATGACAGAACTGAAGTGAAATTACAGTGAATGATACTGCCAAGAAACAGCTGCGAGATATTGTTGAAATGTTCAGGGATCCAAAACGTTGTAGTAGGGAGAGAAGAACTGACATCACACCTATTTTAATTAATAAAAAACGAATTGCTTCTAATTATTTCAGTGCTGGTAACCACTACTTTATAGTTGTCAATTACAATGTAAAAAAGAAAAATGGCACTTAATATCCTATTTGGACAAATGAATCAATAAATAATTGAAAATATTTAGTCTCTAGTTTGATATAATATACTGTACATCACAATGATTATTTCGCAAAGCTATTTTCTGTAAATATTCAACTAATTAAAAAGATTGTACTGACTGCACTGTGCTTCACTTCTGTAACAATTTAAAAAAAATATATTCTCTGATGTTATTTGATGCCTTTACAAAGCACTCAGATTAGACCAAATAGTATAATATTCCTAAGGTTTTTTGTTATTTATTTTAGTTAGGAATATAAAAGTGTAACCCTCCTGCTCTAAAAGTGTCATAGGAAGTTCTGATTAATAGCTCTCGTTCCTACTCTGTACACTGCTGTTGTTATTATATTTCTCTGCATCCTTTGTACAAGGATAGAGAAGAATTTTAATTTCAAAGTTCAAACAACAATTAAGGACCTAATGTTGTATATATAGAAGAAACCTATCAGAGCACAATGCTATGAAATGCATATTCTCATTTCCAGTTATAGTTAACCATCAAGTCTACCAAGGACACTCAGTTTCCAGGTGTTTTGACAAGGGGAAGTTATCAGATATTTGCTAAACTGAATTAAAAATACAGAATCTCTGTATCCCTGGGCCGTTCTTAAATGAATTGCTATTTTGGGTGTTTTTTTATGTCAGTTCCAATCCAAATTAAGATTAGTCTTTTTTACACCTCTAGAACAAGTACTGCTGGTGAGATTTGTTTAGTCACTCTGCAGTAATATGATTTGGACTTCTTTTTATTGGATTCAGCCTCAGCCTTGCTTCATAAGGGATTTGTTTTACTGTTATTGTGCTGAAGAACTCAGTCTGGTTGTTCTTTTTTCAGTTCTGTACACTGGCAGAATTTTTAATTGCAGTAATACTGCCTTGTCATGATAGATTTTATGTAGCTCTTTATACTGATTATACTTGTTGTACTTGTTTTATTTACCACTTTTTTCTTAGAGTACTAAAGAAACCATTCCCATTTTTGCTACTTACTATAAAATAACATATATAATGTGTGTACGTTTTACACAGGAGTAATGATCAAGGGAGAAACTCAAAATGTTATTAGATCATCAGAAACAAGAATATCTTGTTAAAACTCACCTCAGAATCACATATGAGGCTTCTAATAGAATATTTAATCAAAAGCAATATAATTACTACTACAAGAAATCTAATCATTATCAAAAGTTGCTGTTCCAAGTCAGGGTAGTGGCAATCCTGATTACCAGAACCATTGGTTGTTTGTCAGCACTGACAAGGCAGCAATCTACAACAGCACATATTGTACGGGGACAATTTAGAGACACCAATTTACCTATTCAGCTCATCTTTGGAAAGTGGGAGAAAACTGTAGCCTCCGGATACAGTGAAAACATGCAAACTCCACACAGAAGGCACTACATTTTGAATTCTAACACAGGGCACAAGAATTGGGAAATAGCAAAGGTAACTACAATTAATTAGTTAATTGACTTTTGCAAAAATTGGCCCTGCTGTGAGAGTGTGTGTGTTTGTGTCTGTGTGTCTGCCTTCCGATGGACTGGCATCCCATCCAAGGTGTATCTGACCTGGCCTGACCTTTTCTTGCTAGGATAGCTTCTGGCTCCCCTGTGACCCTGAATTAGGAAGAAGAGGTTAGAAATTGGGTGGATATGTGTTATAGATATATTTCCTCTTCTTCAAGGTATAGTCATTTTGACTTCCTGTTGTAGAAGCTGTCTATGGAATAAATGCTTAAGTGATGTATAGAGTTTCAAAAGTGTGTGCTGTGTAAAAGTTTAGAAACACAGCATGTATTTTTCAGACAATTCCGTAATACTAACCAGTTAGTTTAGTGTATTATTCTGAAAAGCTGTGAAGTTTGTATTTACCAGATAAAATCTCCTGTTGCCCTTTTGTATTCCTCATTGCATCTAGAATATCAAATGATGAAGAATATGGATGATACTGTAGGAAGGTGTGCTTGTGTGTTTCCATGTGCAAAGGTAACTTAAAAGCACACTTAAATGACAAACAGGCCCCTTGTCATACGCTTAGTGATGGCATAGCTGAGTGACAGATTGACAGAGTGTGATCTTGGGTCATTGCTGACAGGATTGTCACAATGTGAAGGCACTACAGAGAGGGCTGGCAGCATCATCTGGCACAATGTCAGACATGCCCCACAAATTTTGCTTTTGAGATGCATGAGTGGCAAGTAAATATTTGGGGAGGGGGTAAGGAACATTGTTTTATCAAGGGTTTCTTATTTATTCCTTAAATCAATTCATCCTGTGTTAGATATTATACTAATTCATTAAAACTGTATTATATTTTTCCTTTTGGGGAGTTTTAACTGTTTAAATGTTTTAAATACTGGGACCATAATGTGTAATAAAGAAGGGTGAAGATTTAGCTTATTAATATACAGCAAAATAGGGGATTAAAAATAAAAACAGAATGCTGAAATTTGTTCTGTGTACAGAGCTGACAGACAAAATTGCACAGTTAGGTTCTCACATCCAAACAAAACTATGTAATTCTCTCAACAATGAAAAGCACATTACTGAGGCTGACACCTTCTAATTTACTAATGTAGTTAAACCATTATTAAATACGGTACCCATAGCCAGTAACACCCTACGAGTGAAATTACTGTTCAAATACTGTGAGACAATTTGCCGCTGTAGTACAAATCTATCATTTTTCCTCTGTATGTTTTCTCTGTGTATGCTGTATATAATGCAATACCAATGCATGAAGAAGAATTTTGGGTGAGCACTTCCCTGTTTGTTGTTGGTATTATTTAGGAGTTAGACTAATATTTATAGCCGAGCAGGGGATGCACAATACAGCTGGCCTGATCAAACGGTGAAGGCTCAATGCAGCTAAACAGGGTAGATCAGGGCAGGGAAGCTGTATAGCCAAGCAAGGGTGGAGGACTGGGATATGGCACAAAGCTGGAGCTGTGAAGGAGACAGGTGGGAAGACACTTGGTCGTGGGGTTCTCAGTCTGGTCAGACAGACGTACTGAATCTAGGACGGTCACCTTCTCTAGTAAGGTTCATTGTGTTAAGAGCCCTTTCCTGGTGTGGAAGGAAGCTCAATGACAGAGCACTGGACTACAGGCAGACCTGGCAGTAATGAGATGAACTGGATTAACATATATGCGATGAGTGCGTGGTTGTGTCCATGGTGTGATACAATGGATACCAAGTCAGGACAGAGAGCAGGATCTGGATGAGTCTGTGAAAGTCTTAGAGCTGTTATGACGCCCAGTGGACTCAAAACCCACATTGTCCAACTGTCCATGGACAATGTCATGCACAATGCTCAGGGAAATGTGAAGTTAGTTTGCACTGACAGCAAGTTCCATGTGTCCATCTTCCCTATCAAGGCTTAATGGGCAGAATTTTCTCACCCGTGGAAGAGGCTCCAGACACTTCTCATCTGTCCTGTCACTATGAACACAGTGCTCTTTGATTTTCTGTATCTCACCAGAATTTATTGAATTCATATTTGCCATCTTAGATGAATGAAAAGAAAAGTGTTTAAAAAAAATTGAACAACAAAAAAAAGTTATGATGTTTGGGTGAATCTGAGAAGAAACAATATATCTGGGGGAGGCTGGTTTGAACCTCGGTGCTGCCTGTGACTTGGAGGTAAAAGCACAGCAAGTTGGCATCTTAGTTCTAATC